CACACACACACACACACACACACACACACACACACACACACACACACACACACACACACACACACACACACACACGTAGCTCAAGTCTCTCTGTAAGTCCTTGTACGTCTAGCCCATTATCTTTGAAGAAAACGTACTTAGTTTTGCCAACAATGGCCCAACAGTACTCGTGACTTAAGCGACATTTATCTCATGATCACACTGTTCAAGAATTGTTGACCGCCCTGCAGAATGATTGTTTGAGCACCAAAGTTAATTTGAACGTTGCTCGAATATGACAAACGTTGCTCCAACCTGAAAATTAACACAGTTTTTTTTCTGTTGCTATTGCGACCTCGGCCATCACCCTCGTGTTCCCGCGGACTTCATATGCACCCCGACACGAGTTGTCCCGCGCTGGATGATTGGGTTGCACACATGACGTCGATCATGAAGACCGCACATGAGCACATAGTCGCTTCCTAGACTCGCATGGCCGCACATGCGAACCGATCGAGGATGGATCATCCATTCAAAGTCGGTAATTATGTGCTTATCGACTCCTGCCACTTACAGCTCGAAGCAGACACGCTTAGCAAGTTTCGGCGTCGCTTCTTTGGCCCATGCCGCATCCTCCAGGCTGTCGGTTCTCATACGACATCTAGCCCGGTCAACTTCTGTGTGAAGCTGCCCGACTACCTACGCCAGACTCGTGTGCACGATGTCTACCACGTCTCGTTACTGCGTCCTTACCGCAGACCGTCCGAGCGTTTCGACCATACGAGCGCCCTCCACCCATCATGGTGAACGGCCACGAGGAGTTCCTCGTTTCAGACATCATTGATCGCCGAGTCACCGACGACAACTCTCCCCACGTCGAGTATCTCGTACGTTGGAAGGGTTACCCTGATGAGGAGGCTACCTGGGAGCCCCTCGAGCACTTGCAGTACGCTCGCATGTTGGTGCGTGCCTATGACTGTGCTCGTCGTGCTGGGTTCACTGCTCCTTCTCAGCCCACTGACCCTCCTTCTTCTCCCCCGACTGAGGAGACTGCTGAAGTCGAGCCTGCTCCATGTGAGGCAGACCTTCAGCAGTAGCTGGATGCTTCTGAGCATCCACAGCGCACTAGTCGTCGTCCTGCTCGATACGACGATTGACTCTGACTTACCTTCCCACGTCTTTGACTTCTCGGACTCCATCCACTCCAGTTTTGTTACTTCAGCTCGTCGACGTTGCGGCTCTTACTCGATGGCATTCCTGACTTCTCATCATGGATGTCATCAGCAGCTTCATGGACTTCATCACGATAAGCTCTGCCTACTTCAGACGTCATCACTCTCTTACCACCTTACCCTGTACAGTACCTTGGTTGTGTTGCATGATGGTCTCCCTTCGTCGGGTTCCTCTGAGTTGGGCTCTCTCTTGGTATACGCATAGGCATGGGGACCGTCGCGTTGCCCTGGCTTCCCAGCTTACGGATCTAGCTCCGACCTCCCTCACTTTAAGAGTCATTTGCATGATTCCTTTACCCATCACCTTTCTACCCTCTGCCGGCCCTCACGCCCTAGTAAGGCAGCCCCGCATGCTTCATCTAGGTGCGCCCAGTATACCAGGCTTCCTTGTTCCCTTGCATGGTCGAACCCCCATAGCGGTCACCCCTTTAGTCGAGCATTACCTTCCCTGATGGTTTATTTGTTAGGGTCATTGGTTCTGTTTGCTCCCAGTTCCCTACCCTCATTGAGCCTGATGACATGTGTCTCCCTGTTATTTATGTGTGGATGCCCTTAGGATTTTTCGACCCCTAGGCTGCATTCGCCACCCTCAAAGACCATCCCACCCTTTGGTTTGTGACACACTTCTCATATGACATATGGTTGACTTGTTGCTGTGTTGCTCTCAGACAGAGGCTACTGCCTCTGACATTTCTAGGATTAAGTTGTTATGCTTTTGCTATTCTTAGGACTTATACACTAATTAGTTGTTTCCAGACTGAGGCTACTGCCTCCAACATTCTAGGACCTAATTGTCGCTACTTCATGCTTTTCTAGGACATGTATGCTAGTTAGTTGCTTTCGCTTTCACTTAGGCTGTTAGTTGTGACATTGTTGTTTTTGCGACATTTTCTATTATAGGTTGCATCGCATGGACTCAGCATAGAGCTTGCTCCGCATTCTAGACTACTCAGGTTTTCTTTCTCTTTGGTAGAGTTTCGTTTCTTGGCGGAAACGTGCTTGTATCTAGGCGATCCATCACAGACCAAGGATCGTGTAGCGGACCTTTGGTTGGCCTGTGAGACCAGCCCCTTGGCCTGTCCTCACAGGCCTGTTTTGTATTCGGGGAAGTCCAGTCCCGACCGGTACCTCTGTCGGTACCAGCCAGTCCAGTCCAGTCCCGTCAATCCGCTGGGGTATACCCCAACAGTTGTCTGTTTTTTGTCTCATTCTACACTTGTACGATTTTGGAGTACGTGCGTTGGAGTCTTGCGTGGGAGCTGCATTGTGCCATCTCGCTCCTCCCTCATCCTCCATCTCTATCTGTATCCCGGGCGGAGCACCTTCCCGAAGGGTCCGCTACAGTGGGAAGGGGAGTGGGGGCTATTGGCAGCGGTGGAAATGGCGGCAGCGGCAGCGGAGACGGCAACAGTAACAACAACAACATCTACAACAACAATATTGGAGGTGGAGCAGTGGTCAGCAGAGGAGAGGCAAGGAATGGGCGGGATTGGAGAGAAGGGTGGGATGGTCGACAACAACAAGGACACTAACAACATTAACAACAACAACAAAAACGAATTGAACAACGGCGGCGAGAAGCGAATGGGCGAACTGGGTGAGATAGGAGTGAAGGAGGACAACAACAACAACAACAACAACAACAACGACGACGACGACGGCGGCAACATCAAGTTGAACGCGATGGAGGAGAGGGGAGAGAACACCAATGACATGGTGGAGAGGGGGGGGAACGCTGACAACAATGACAACAACAACAACAACGACGCCGACGAAGACGGTGGTGGCAGGGGGCAGTGTGTGGTGACGCCGAGGGGATTGGGGGTGTCAACAACGACAACAACAACAACAACGATGGTGCCAACAACAACAACAACAACAGTGATGGTGCCAAGAACAACAACAACAACAACAATGATGAAGGTGAGCGGGGATCGAGTGAGATGGACGAGCAGGATGAGACGGGGGACAGCAACAACAACAACGACGGCGGTAACAACAACAACAACAACAACAACAACACTAACAACAACAACAATTATGACGAGGACGGAGGCGGCGATCATGACAGCAGCGACGTGGAGAGCGGTGACGTTGAGGGGATTGGTGGAGACGTTCATGGCAGCAGCATGCCGCAAACAGATTTGGACGGGGGTGGGGGTGGTGAGAGAGACAATAAGTGGTTTAATCTCCTCCCCTCTTCCAAACTTGATATGGAGAGTATCTGGCAGAGGAGAGGAGTAGGGTAGTTCATGGAAGTTGCTGCTGCCTCGGGCGGATGGTGGGCTGAATAGAGAAGATGCTTCTCACCTCGGTATCATTTCACTCGTAGGACGTCAATCCTTCTCTCATGTAGGGAAGTAATCAATGCCCCTGCGCTCTTCGGATTCACATCATCACATTGTTTTGCATAAAGGACTTTGGATTCGTTGTTCTGATCATATACCACATTGATAGGGTTTTTTTTAGGGTTGATTTACTTTGTGCACACACATCACACAAGTGGTAGGGTTTCATGTGTAGATTCATTGATACACAACATATACAGGTCTTTTTGTTTGGATTTCGTGAATGAATAACTCTGTTACGATTTTGTGGCATGCCCACTCCGCAAAAAATAG